ATTTTTCTTTAATTTTGATTTTCCTACATTAAATATAGATTTTTTTTTCTCAACATCAATTTTTATTGGACCTATAGACTTTGAAATTTTGTACCATTAGCAGAAAGATTTGTCAAATGCTTTCAATCAGCTTAATATCTGAAAAATTTCCATGGTAGAATTTTAAGACAGGAAATTACTTCTAAATGTATGTTTCATGAAAATTAATTATTTGATGTGTTTGAACACTTTCTATTCATTCGTTGATTCATTTAAAATGATCTTTTAATTAAGTTTAATGTTGTTCACAATCGTTGTAATGTATAGTTTATTCACAATAACACATTTTTCTTTCTTCCGTAAACTTTATTGTATAATCTTTCATAACTCAAGAAACAGATTACAAATAATTAAAACAATTAAATTTTAATTGAATATAAATATTAAAATATATGCAAAAACATGATTAAGGCAAAAATAAATCGTTAAGATTCACATAAATTTCAGTTGCTTTTATGAGAGTTTGAAACTCGGTCCACTGATTAAATCACAAACACAATTAATTCACAAAAGTCTGAAGGAAATGATTCTCTGCTTAATCAAAAGTCTATTGGAGAATCATCACCCTGTCACATCTGAGTATTGGAGGTCATACATCCAAGGGAAACTGTCAAATCCGAGTAAAGTCGTCATATTCCAGTTACATAGTCAAGTCCGGTAAAAAAAAAGTCACAGGTCGTTAAATTACACCTCTCATCATAGCTGACGAACTGGAAGATTGGACTATTCTAGTTTAATTGTAAACTCCTCCAATTCCATAACTCTCACTGCTTTGTATCCCTCCAATGGTGGGATAACTACAAAAAGCTCAGCACAGCTCCATTGCACGATCTGCCAATCCCATCGGGAGTGGTGGGGTCGCCTATGTGCCTCCCCACCCTCCCAGTCAAAGTTGTACAGAATCTTTCGCCACCTTCATACCCCACCCACAATGTTGGACTCTCTCACCTCATTCTTCAGACTCCTGACGTTTTAATCACTCCTACCCAACGGAGGCTTTAGCGGACTTCTTTGGCTGGCCAGCCCAATTGAGGCTTTTGTCCCTCTTCTGGCATCCTGTCTGCAATGCACCTAGCAGGATGACCAGCCATTTACCCTTTTGGATCTCTGCCATGCCTTAGACATCTCCGTAACTTTATGCTGGGCCCAGATGGTGTCAGCGCTCAGGCACTAAAGGCTCTCCTGCCAGAGGGACATCGCCTCTTACTTACTCAGCTGAATGAGATCTGGTCAACAGAAATCTCCCCCTCAGACTGGACGATGGCCATCATAGTCCCGATTGCCAAATTGGATCGCCTGGCGATGACATGCTCCTCCTACCATCCGATTTCACTGACGTCACACATTGCCAAAACATTTGAGCATCTCGTACTCCAACGACCCCACACTTTCGTCTTCTGCACCGAACTGTTTCACCATCATCACTTTGGTTTTCTCCCATACAGGGGAGTAGAAAACACTCTTGTGGCAATTCACCGTCATATTGATTGATATATTGACAGGAAGGCCTCCTGTCTCCATCAAAAGAGCCAGGTGCCACTGGATGTACCTGATTGCCCTTGACCTGGAAGGAGCCTGTGACTCTGTATGCCAAGCAGGGCTCCTCGCCAAATTATCACACATGGGCTTAGGATGGAGGATGCTGCGCTAGCTGACCTCTTTTCTCCAACACCACACCTTTTGTGTCTGCTGGCGGGGAATGTCATCGTCTCCCCACCCATTTCCCCAGGGGGTTCTGCAGGGGAGTGTTCTTGCACCTCTTATTCACTTGCTATACAGTGGACCTCTGGGAGGCCCTTCCATATGACGTCACCGTGTTCCTATATGTAGATGATTCATCATTTCATCCAGCACCAGTCCTATCTAGGCAGCATGTCGAGTACAGAGAGCGCTAGATCATCTCGAACATTGGGCAGTCTCTTGGAGCCTCTCCTTCTCTGCTGCCATGAGCGCAATGGTAGACTTTTTGCCCAAACACCACCATCCTCCTGTCATTTTGTCTCTCCATTCAGGGCCAATCCCCCAGCACACCACCCTAAGGATTTTGGGTGTGCACTTCTTGCACACATTTACCTGGACAGCCCATGAGACCTTTTTGCGAGCGAAATTGACCTGGGCGAATTCATTCATTTCTTAAATTTTCACCTCTTGTCACAATGGCACTCACACAGCCGACCTCCTCCACCTGGTCTATATGGTCCTCTGCCGTATGGCGAAATTCATGGCTCTGCTCCTTGAGGGCGCCCCCAAGTATGATACACTGCATCGAGAAACATCTACTGTACATGCCGCACAGCCTTGGGTGTGCTGGCGATGACTCATCTTTTGTCTCTCTATGTGGAGACTGGCTACATTTTGCTGGCGACCAGGCTTCGTCTAAGGGCCATGTCCCATGCCTTCACCCATATCTCAAGAGGTCCATTCAGTCCCCTCAACAACCTTTATCAATCAGCATCCAGTTTGGGATATTATCATTGGTGCCAGTTTCAAAGGCTGTATATTCTATGAGTCCTCTCTCACATCTGACAGGAAGGCCTCCTGTCTCGCATATCTATCGGCAAAAGTTCATTCCTCCGAATGCTGCTCATCTACACTCTCATCTCAGCTTGAGTGACTTTCCTACGCCAAACACGAACCCGCCCAAAGCCACATGCACCAGATTCTATGAGACCATGACCGGCAAATGGCCGGACGCCTCCAAAACCTGCATCTGGATGACCATTGGCGTGGTCCTCCCGACTCACCACATCCAAGCTTATATGATCGTTGTAGTGTCTTTTGGCAGAAGCCCTTGGAATCCTGCAGGCAATTCAACTCAGCCAACCATTTCACCACCTGATGGCAATCTTGTCAGACAGCAGGTCGGCTTTACAAGCTGTGGCCAATGTCACATTCTCTTCATCAGTGGTCATTATAGACCTGGCATTATAGAGTGGCCTCCATCTATTCACACACAGCACCCATTATTGTTGGGTGGACACTGGTATCCCAATTAACAAGGCTGCTGACAAAACTGCCTCAAGACATGTTGACCAGCTCCACATGGAAGATACTCATGTCAAGAGACCTTTCCATCACATGAGAAACAACCATCCAGAGTTTAATAGACACCTGGTCTCCCGAGCTGTATAACAAAGGACATGACCATCTCTGTCCTTTTGCTGATTGGATTTACCATCATGCTTCATCCCATTACGCAGAAACACTTCTGGCCCATTTAAAGACAGAGACAGCCCCACTGAACCATTTTCTATATATCAGGTGCTTAAGTGATTCTCCAGTCTGCCCCCACTGCAGGGCACTGGAGACTACACTCCACTACTGCCCACAGTATGACGGGACCCGCCAAGACAAGACTTGTCTTTTAATCTCACAATTGTCCATTCGCTCATGCCAATCTACTGGCCTCAAACTGACACCTGCATGTTAACACTGGTGGCGTTGGAATGTTACATCAACCACACAGGCCGCTTCAACTAAATACCAGGTGGCACCAGTAAGAGAAGAGAGCCAACCAGGCTAAAGTCTCCACATCAACCAAGAAATAGAAATAGAATAGATGAGAGGTTTTTCCCATCATTAGTAGTGAGTTTTGCTTGTTTTTTGTGGTGTTTTTCTGAGGACTGTGTCGTACTGAATTGGAATGTTTTTCATACCAAATTAACTTCCAAAATGTAATTTTTTTGTTTTTATATTTTTCAATAGACAGTCGACCCCCTATAATTCTGTTTTATATGAATTCCATGTTGTACGAGTCACTTAGATTTTACAAATATGTGCCGGGCTGTGAACGGCTCATGTATTTGTAAAATCTAAGTGACTTGTACAACATGGAATTCATATAAAACGGAATTATCAACAGTGTTATGGGGGGTCTACTGTATTTATTTTGTTTCTACAAAATAAGGAAATAATTTTTAACAATACAATAGCCATGATTATTATTTTAAAAAAATTTCATTAGGTTTAACATTGACGAAAATTCAATGCAAAGTGACACACAATGGAGAAAATTTCAACATGGGATAGGTTAATATAATTTTTTGTACATGATCAGTTATCTGAACAACCCAGTCCTGAATTGTTTTCGGATAATCAATACTCTACTGTATGTAATCTTATCAAGTGCCATCTATGACAAGAAATGTAACTATTTTGGTACTAAAATTTTAATCAACCTAAAAAAAATTCCATTTCTTTCTAAGCATTTCTGTGACTTTTGAATCATCCTGTACATAAGTATACACACAAAAGATGTATTAATATATGCCATGCACTTCTATGTCATTCAACCAATTCCTATGAAACTTGGCAGTTACATTAATGTACTTCTTAGATAATATTGTACCTACCACCCCAAAATATTGATTTAATTTCTACCTATATCTGGCTTCCTGCCTTTAAATATAGCACCATCTGTTGGCAGAAATTTTTTAAAATAATAAACTAAATGTAATTCACACAAAAAAGATATAATTTAAAAAACAATTATTATATTCAATTGATTACTGGTAACACACAACACTCGTGTGCCAAGTTGAAGTGTTACACTGAAAATCATTAACAACTCAGGTATTTCGATTTCTGAATAGTATTTGTACACTAGCTTATAGATTTTATAATGACTGCATTAGGATTACAAACGGCCTAATTTGGTACAAGGCAGGCAAGGCACTTGCCTGGAGCCGATAATAGGTTCTAAATGTGCCATTGTTTTATTAATATTGCGAATTACTATATTATTAGCGCCATATTCAAGGGTTAATTTGTGGATTTACTGTGGAATTTGAACTACCATAGTCCATGAACCATCGATTATCCTGCTTAATTTGATTGTATCTATCTTACATTTTTTTTTACTAGAGACCAAGATTAAATCTGCTAGATATGGAAGTAAAATTGTATCTTTTCCCCTTAAAATTATCAATCTTATAAAACAACTAAAAAAAATACAAACACAATTTTTTTCAACAACTTTACTGTCAAAAAATGATATCCTGTTTTGTTACATTAATGTTCCTTTTTTTCACATATTCAATCTAAAATGAAATTTTCAAACAATAATGATATAAGCATGCTAATTTATCAGAGCATGATTATATAAAACAAGTATATTCATTGTGTGTGATATATATATTTATATATATATATATATATATATTTATAAAAAAAATCATCTGGATGTGAAACAACATATACAACAGACATGGTGAGAATGATGATGATGATTATAATTTGTTATCAGTTTTTTACCCATTCCAATAAAATATATTTGAAATAGACTTTAAAAGTGTGCATGACCAAGAGATGGTCACAATATGAATTTAATATAGACAAAAAGCTATAAAGAATATAAAACTGCTAAAGACATTGCACACATTTTGTTCTTTCAAGTTTTTTAAATAGAATTTCATCCATTTTCAAAATTCTGAAAATGCAATCACGATTTATTGTTAAAAAAAAATTCTTTTTTTTTAATAAAAGGTTATTGTAGTACAGTCTTTCTTGGACAATTCATTTTTACAACGCTGAATTTTTTCAGTGTTTAAAGCCAAGAAATCATTTTACAAACAAAGACAACAAAGCTTTAAATTCTATTATGTAAAATAATTTTGGCAATTTGATTTTTATTGCTGTTAAATAAACTAAAGGCACCTATAACTCTCTGTAAGCAGAAAATAATTCAAGTCACTCTTCGTTTTTCTTTGTGATTGACCGAATTTTCTGGTCGCATAAAAGATCTTCCTGAGTCTCAAAACATTTATTCACGGGATACGTGCAATAACTCGCAATAAAAACTATTTCTTTCGAATGATAATTCTGATTACTCGAACGATTCGGTCCCGTAGAACGTGAATGCTAATTAACCGACCGGTGCAAATGTGGCCGGCATATTACAAAATATATTACTGTAAACGTGAGATTAAATTAAAAATTTCATAACCTATACTGCAAAATGCATTAAAAATAACATAACTCTATTCTCAAATTAGTTAAAATTTCTAGTTGTTGCCATCAAACTTATAATCACAATTATTTACCCAGGACAGACAAAAATCCCTTCATCGATACTAGTTTATTATTGTTTTTTTTACTTATGAGATTTTATGTAAAAATGCATATAGACAATGTGTCCTGTTTTATCCACTATTTACGTCTGTGTCAATACAGATTATTTTTTATATGGTAGAGCCAATGAGATGTGCCGATACTTTAGTTACGACGTCACCTCAAACGAGGTAATCGTTCCCGTAAAATGAGCGAAGAAAACAGTTCATGCACATGAATATCTTTTCGGATTAACAGATTCATTCTACATTACAATGTATTTGACTCGAGTTGCAATTAAATCTTTTACATAGAAGAATTGGGGATATGATGATATGGCGTAAACAGCTACCCCAAACAAAAAGCACAAAACTTTTCGAAAGTTGTGCTAAATTATAATACAATGTAAAGAAAAACCGGCTACAAATTTTTTCATTCCGAAAATGTATTGAACATGCTTAAATCTTCGAAGGAAGTGGCTCCTGTTTGGTCCAACATTTGAAGCATGTCCGTTAATTCCTGTTGCTGAGGTCCATTGCCACCACTACCGTGAGTTGCTTGATGACTAGCTCCAGAAGAGGAGGCAGATGTTTCTGTGGGAGCACCCTGCCATTGTCCCCAAAGACCTAGAATTGAATATGAATTAAACATAAATTACACATTTTTTTTCAAGATGTTCAAAATTTTTATTATATATTATTAGCAAAAAGTAATTTAAGTTTTTAACAATAAGAAAAAATTATTTTAAGACTTTTCTTTGTTTAATCTAATGTATAATTTTCATTGTTGTTATCGTAATCTTTATACTGTATAAGATTTACATTCAAAGAAGTCTTTTTTATACTTTGATTTCATTTTTGAATTTGACTTCTCTACATCTAAAGTAAGAAGTCAAATTCATTGACTTCTTACTTTAGATGTAGAGAAGACTTCTTTTGATAATGAGTCTGTTTACTTGTATACTAACAAATTAACCTCATAAAAAAATGTTTGAAGACTAATACAGAATAAGTAATTTCTCAGCCAAATTCTTTGCTCAGCATTTATTGTCATATGATATTTAGTATTGTTCTGATGAAAAATTACATCTTTTCTGTTTGCCGAACTTGCTTTATCTTGTATGGTAATGCATCATTACTAGTAGTGACGTATAAAATTAATTATTTTATTGGGTTTACCAAGTTCACAAAAATAGAACATTTATGCAGTCACATCAGTAGTAATAACAATCTTTTAGTATATGCCAGACTTTTCTTTCATAATGTCTTTTTTGTACATCATTATCATATAAATCTGCTCTTCACTACCAATCAATTTTTGATTTAGAAATGGCTCATGTGTTTACCAAAGAAACAAATGCAGTGAATTTAACAATTAAATTTTTTTCTGATAATTTGTTGGTACCCATTACCATTTTATGAAACATTATGCAATTTATGCATGTAAGCTTTAAAACTATATTCTCTCTCCTGTATAATGTATGCATTTTACAGATGCATTATGTGGATTAAATTGATAATATTAATTACTTAACTTCTCATTGGAACTAATAACCATTTGTGAACAAATATAATTATAGGATGTAATTAAATTAACAATAGTTTTCTATTTAACAGACCTTATTTTCTACATTTACATATATTAAATAGTAAAATTAATTCTATAATTATTAATAAAACTGTCATAGCCGATATCTGAGTTACATATAGAGTTTACATCATGCATTTTATGCGTGTAATCAATACATCTACAATGATTAGGCTGTAAATATACACAATGTATTGTATATGTAAATATGGTTTTAATAAAAAGAAAATTAAGACAAACGTATCATATTTTACAAAATAAAATGTAATTTCTATAAATTAATTTACCCATAATTACAAAAATTAATGTAAGATATATTTACTTCTAGATCCAGGAGTAGAACCAAGCTGGGTATAAGTTGGGCCTGATGGACTACGAGTGGCAGGACTCATTTGGTTATAACCTTGATTAAATGATTCTGATGTTGGCTAAAAGTATAACATTAATTATAATTAAATAAGAATAATTTATAAAATAAATTTCAAACAATTATTTTAAATGATAAATCTATGCATTTATAATTTCAGTATATTATACCTATAAATTTACAATATCTAAAAATTAAGAATTTTGTCAATACATAAAAAAAAAAAAAACACTAATCCTGCACATAAAGGAATACAAAAATTTCAACACAGTTTTTAAAACTGTTCAAAAAACAATTTGTTGCATAAAAAGTATTCAAGATTCTAATTAAATCAATATTCTATGATCACTGAATTACAGAAAGCCAAATGCAATATATAGTTGCTATGCATTGAAAAAAATCTGGTTTCTCATTTTCACAATTAAAAATATTATTGAATATGGTTATGAATGGTTATGATCAGTAAACATAAAATTTACCAATCAAAACCTATTGCTTTTAGTGATCCCACAACAAAAAATTAGGAAGAGTCAAGTCTGGGAATGCAGTGACCTTGGAACAGTATTGTGTTGTGCTGTTTAGTAATTGCCAAATTGCTGTAGCCACTGATATATGTATTTCTGGGAATGAGGTGGTACTATTGTGCTGGTTTTAAACCCTCTTTAGTTGCACCAACAGCAAGTCATCAAGCCATTCATTCACCATTGTGTTTTTCAGGATGTTCATAATAGCTTCTTGATCACTAGAACCAAGAAGCTATTCACCCCATATTCCACACCAGACCATAAGTGATACCAATTGTTTTACCCATATAGGGTAAAACAATTGGTATCACTTATGTTGTGTGCATCATAGAACACAGTCTGCCCACTGATGTTTATTGTGATAATTATATGCTACATTCTGTAAAAATAGTGCTTCATCAAGCTGTAAATTTAACATCATACAGCATCATTTAAATTGGTGTCTGGTATCCTTTGCAGATATCAATGGAATGAGTGTATGTCATGGTGATATAATACAAGGGTGGATCAAATATAAACAGAATTTATTTTATGTTTTAAAATTATTTATTAAAAAATAAAAAAAACATTATGATTTATTTTTCTACATTGCTTCCTGCTTTAGAAATACATTTTTCCCAGTGAGAAGGAAGGTTTCTTATTCCAGTACTGTAGAATGAAGTTGGTTGCATCAGGAGCCAATTGCGCACGAATTCCTCCACTCCTGCATCATTTTCAAATTGCTGCTCTCCTATAGCTTCTTTAAGCGGCCCAAACAAATGAAAATCGCAGGGCGATAGGTCTGGACTGTAGGGAAGATGATCAAGTGTAGTCCAGTGCATTTCGTTAAGTTTTGAGACTGTTAGAGCTGCAGTATGGGGCCTGGCGTTGTCATGGAGGAGAATGACATCTCAATCACTCGACAGCTTCCATAACTTATTCTGACCTTCTCTGCAATTCCGCAAATTCCGATTCGTCTCTCCTCTTCAATAATATCTCAAGCCACTCAAATGTTTTCGCTTGTGATGCTGGTCCGAGACGGTGATCATGTTTCTGATTTTCCACTCGTGTCCGTCCTTCCTTGAACTTTTTATGCCAGGTAAACACACAAGTCCTTGACAGTGTTTGATCCCCAAACTGTGCAGTCAATCTGTCATGTTGACTCCTTCACGAGCAAGAAATTGTACGATTATGTGTTGCACAACAGAGGGGTATACCTGTTGCTCTGACATCGTGAGCACTACTGACGAATTGGTTGAAAGTATGAAACGGCTGGCTTTCCCCACTCCTAATGACCCTACCCAATCAGACTAGATGTGTGGACCCTGTACTGCCAACCTTAGTTGCTCAGGAACAAAAATCCCATTTACATTTGATTCCCTTGTATCTCTTTGTGTGGCTACTACAGCCCACAAATTATTTCTTTTTAAATAATATTTGAATGAACTACATAAGCACACAGAAGATGTAAACAAATAAATACCCAATAGAAAAGTTATATATTATACTTCAAACACTGAATTATTATTATTTTAGAGACCAGTATCTGTTTTATTTTGAATATCAAAATTGGGCTGTGCTTGGATTTAGTTTTTTAATAAATGGTTATTGTTTTCCATGTTGTCAAAAAATAACTGTATATTCATCATTTAGACATTGGCAAATTTTTGATATATTAACAGTATTTACCTGTCCTATGTGTCGTTGGTTCCAGGCACCTTGAGGAGGGGAAGCCGAAGAAGTTGAGGCTGAAGAAGGTTTACTAATTCTTGCTAGAACACCACTTGTAGCTGCAGCACTTGGTGCTGTTTGAGCTATGGTCCCTGTACCCCCACCACCAACACTTGTGCTTGGATAATTTAAACTGGAATGAGATTGAGTATTAGCTTCATATGTTCCATACACTGGCTGACCAGAACCAGGACGACGTTCTTGCAGTCCTTGGGAACCTATAAAAAATTATGAATATATCTTAATCTTTTCTAAAAGAACATACATATGTTGAAATACAACACATTAACTTAACCTTTTAACACATTGTTTATAATTCAAACATAGAAATGATCTGCTAATCATTGGATTACTTTTTATATTTAAAACTAAATACATTGATGATTAGATAAATCTGTCATCATAAATTTGACAATTATTATTAATATTGTTGATAACATAATTTTAATTCAGTGAAACAATTTTAAATTTTGTTAAAAAAGGATGGCTTAGAATTAATTCAAACCTTACAACTTTTGCAAATCAGGAAGTTTATCATCAATTATGACAGGGTTTCCCATCAGGGTCAATATAACTTTGCAAATATAAAAAAATTTATTTAAAAACATTAAAAGTTTTGCATATTTTTGCTCTTAAATAAGTGTAGGAAGATTTTTTTAGAATTATGTAAGAGGCTATAGCAAATATATTTATATATAAATCTAAATATATAAAATTACTTGTCCTGACTGACTGACTGACTCACTGATTCATCATCACCCAGAGACCTGAAGAACAGCTTCTACTGTACTATTTTAGAAGCAATTTTTGTTTTCAACTATGTTTAGTATTCATTGATTACTTAGGTGTATTAAATTGATAGCATTTCAGACATTGTTATGAATATTTTTATATATTTTGATTTTTTAACCAAATGTTCAAACTGTTTTAAATTTGAATTTGTTATTGCATATTGGTTTGATTATAGAATGATTGTAAAAGTTCCAGAAAATTGATCAAATTGAAAATAGTTTGTTTGATTCTCAGCAATTCTCATCATTCTCAGCAGTAGGTGTTATATAACAATTACTATGGTTGTTGAAATACTGAATATAAATGGGGTATGCTTGCAAAACCTCCGCAGGCAAAGTTGCGGGTAACAGCTAGTATAACATAATATGTAATATAGTATAGTATAATTAATATTGAAGAGGGTTGATGAAAAAAATTTTTCTTAAAAGGGATCAAAGAAAGGTTGGAAACCCCTGAATTATGCTATCCAAATACCCATAGATCTTTTCCAGACATATACATTAATGTTATTGTAATTTCATGCAGATAATCCACAGAAATTCATTAAACAGAAATAAAATTCTTGCAAAACTCACACCACTGGAGCAGACACTGAAAGTATAACACTTACTGGTATGCTGTTTATAAAATGTCAAACCTAAAAAAATTTTTTTTGTTTCACTTTCATTAGCAGTTTATGAATTAAATATATATATATATAAAGAACAAGATTGAATATCCTATAATAACCAAATCATTAAATGCCCAAATAACTTGGCATTTGACAATTTAACTCTTTATGGATATTATTGATTATAATTATTATTATTATTATTAATGATAAAATAAATATAGAAAAAATTAAACAGAAAATAATTTTCATCTCAATAGTATTAGATTTTTTAAGCTAATTATTTAAATTTAAGTTTAATTAAATTTAAACTAATTAGCTTAATTAGTTTGAATTTAAACTAATTAGCTCTTAAATTCAAATTTTAAATGAATATTTGTTTAATATAAAATGGATTTGTACATTATAAAGTAAAAAATAAAGCAGATAAACCAAAATTATAATGACAACACATTTAGTTTAATTTAGTTTGCAATATGGCAGAAAGTAATGTTGTTACATGTAAACAAAGAGAAACAATGTACAGTCAAGCTAAGGCTATTATTTTAAATATATATGACAATTTTAATTGTTAAAATTCATTTTATAACAATAAAAAGCAATGAGTCAACAAATGATAAACTCAGCAGTCAGTTTCTTAGTAGTTCTTTGAAATGATAACATTAACAGTAAAGTTATCAACTTTTGAAGTACAGTAGACCCCCCTATAACACTTAGATACGTTCCACGTTAATCGAATTTTACGTTGTAGGAATCATTAAATACATGAGCCAATCGCAGCCCGACATGTGTGAAGTTTACGGACTAAGGCTGTTTGAAAGGTTTTCTTCTATAAAATTAACCGATTCTAGACTAATTCCATTCAACATTTCCAAAACATGTATAATTTTTTGGGAATAATCCGTATAAACTATGCTATAAACAAAAAATTGTAGGATTACTTACTGAGTGTGCACCGTTCGACATTGCCATTGCTCAAGCTTGTTTTCGTCGCAGAACAGCGCACGAAACGGCGGCCGCGATTTCTGATAACGAATTTTTCGCAGAAAAATAACTTGACCTTTGGAGACATCATTAATATAAATAATTTTTATGGCCGTTGAATAAGAAGTGTTTCTTTCACCAAGAAATGTATAAAATTAGTGCTGTATTAGACTTATGGTACCTAATTTACATACTGTACAGATGATAATAAACTCAACTTACTAGCCTAAACTCTCCGTAGTGTGGCGCAGGGCGGAGGAAAGTAGTTCGGCTGCTCATCCACTATTGGTCCAGATTCTATCAATCTTGTCGCGACACGAGTCAGCAATGACGTTTTAGGAGTTCCTTTATACGAATATTGCTACAATTTTTTCGCTACGTTATAGGAATTTCCGTTATAGGAACCCACGTTATAGGGGGTTGACTGTACTTGATAAAAGTTCAAGTAGGAATGTCTAATAATGATAATTATAATTAAAATGTGGATTGATCTATAGAAAATGAACAAGCGAGATCTAAAGGCAAAGTATGCATATACAGGGTGTGTGCCAAAAAATGTACATTTCAAAGATCAATAATGAAAGATTTGTTCAAGATACTCTAAATTTTATTTCATCATATCCAAGAACACACAACACAGTTTTCTCAGCTGTTTTTGAAAATAGCATCTTCCAAATGTCAGCCAGTCATTGTTATCAATGCACACCTGAAGTCTATTTCTGAATTCAGCCATGACTTGGTAAGTCATTTTCAGGCAGAATAGAAGCAATTTCTTGGTGAGTAGCATCCCTTACAGCATCAAGAGTTCTTGGTCAATAAGTTTAAACCTAGAATTTCAGATAACCCCACAGAAAAAAGTTGCAGGGGGTGAGATTGGGCAATGCATGGCCACCCAATATCACCATAAATAGAGATTAACTGCCCCATAAACATTTCTCTTAAAACCTGTAGGTATCTTAAGCTGTGGCTTCAGAAAGTTTTCCAGCACGTCTACTTAATGGTTGGCAATCACTGTTACCATGATACCAAAATTGTTGATGGTGTACAGTACAGTAAGACATTCACTGTGAATCAGTCTTTCACAAAGCATTTAAAAGTTCCAATAACAGAAAATCTGCTTGTTTACAAATCCACTCAAATGAAAGTGAGCTTCATTGCTACACAGGTACAGCATCTCTCAGAACACCTTGAAGAATGTTTTTGCGTAACTCTCAGTGATTTTCCCAGTATTTAGCATCAAGTTCTTGTGTTGTCATCATTTTATAGGATGAATGTGCAGTTTCTTGTGATTCTTCTTAAACTCATATTGGAAATTTGCAAAGCAGAAGCATGCTTAACATGGAATGTACTGGGCATTGCATAAAAAAGTCTCTTACAGCTCAAATATTCTCAGGTGTTCATTTGGTCTGAGCCTTGCCAGATGGTTTTATCTTTGGAGCTGAACCTGTTGACCTGAAGTTAGTAACCCATAGCCAAATGATTTTGGAAGGCTCTTCGCATAGCATTCAAGGAATTGTTGTTTTGATAAATGCTTTGATAATGAATGCATAATGTTCACTTGATCAAGGCATGTGGACTACTGAAAATGGTACAGCATGTGCTAAGGAAAGACCCCAACAGTGCCACTTATATACCTCCATAGTTAATGCAAAGGCCTATCCAATTGTAGCTGGTTTTTTTGGTGCAACCTGTATGTTTTTGATGAACTTAGAAAAACATCTTGATGGCAGACAAATATTTCTGCAGTACTAAAAGGATTTATCATATTTTCTAAAGATATTCTTAGTGACTTCAGACACAAAGTTTGATGAGTTCATAACTGCAATTTAGAATTGGTATATACACCTGCTTTCAAAGTGTCTTTTAAACATAGATAACCTGAAGGTTATTTGCATGAAATTACAGTAGATAATAACTTCTCTACTTAGAACAACAAATTCATCCAAACATTATAGAAATTGCTAGCAAAACTAAGCTAAAATTATCAGAAAAATAATTTGGTTACTAAAATTAACCAGATTATTTTCTGATTCAAATGCTATAAGTACTTTGTAGGTGAAAATAAATTGGATATATTAACTTTTGGAGACTACAATAACCAAATTACTTTACATCATATTAAGGTTTTAAACCAAGACTATACAGTAGATTTTACCTGAATTTTCAAAATTAAAAAGTGTTTAGAGTAACCTTTATTTTAACAATTTAGAAGTAAATAATATTTTTATCAATTGAGTTATTTTCTTGATTATTTTATATTTTGTTAATGTTTCAATTGTACAACATAACCATCTATTACAGTTTTTATATTTATATTGGTATGTACTATACAAAAATAGTGACCAAATGTTGATTTTAATTCACTTGTGTTTATTTGTTATCAGTCAGTGTTAGTGATCATCATATATAATTTAAATCACTATTAATAAAGAAATTTTATATGCAGTGGTACCTTGTACTTTGAAGACAAAAATTTGCTTCAGAATTTGAACTACATGTATAGTGAAAAAAATACACTCAAAGAATAAATGCAATCTGTTGTATGTCAAAATCATCCTTTGATCTCATGTTAAACTTATATATTTTCATTGCTTTTTTCATTTTATTTTTTGTTATATATATTGTGTGTTATTTGCCAATTTTTAATGATTTCTTTGTCCACAGCTTTTGATTATCCCCACACATTTTGTATCCTTTAGTTAAAAATTTCTTGAATGAAACTTTTTAAACTACATGCGACATCTTTGAAGTTTAGGAGCATCTTCCTCATATATATTATAATTTTTTTTTCTTTTTATTGTTTCTACAGTGTTATATCCTTTTCAAAACTCAAAAAGCATCATAATATGCCTGATATGCTTTTTATATGAAGACATTTCAAATTGATTTTATTCAAACAAAATGTTAAGTAAAAAGTTTAAAATAAACTTCTAATCCATGTTTAAGACGCCAAAGTCAACAATGTGCAACCAGTAAATGCAATTTTAATTTTATTATACAGTATATATTTTATTTATTGTTTTCATGTTTTAATCTACAGGGTGTCCAGAAAGTCTGGGTACATAAGGATTAACACATACTTTTAAAACAAAATAATTTTATTTGACTCTAATATTAATAAATAACATTTTCAATACGATTTCCACATCATTTTCATTACATAATTTGATGCGCCTTGCAAAATTCAGGTGAACTCGATTAAATAGGTCTGTATTGCAGTCGATTTCAGCACACTGACTGGTAATGGTGTCCATAAATTATGGCGCATCAAATTATGTATTGAAAATGATGGAAATCATATTGAAAATGTTATTTATTAATATTAGAATCAAATAAAATTACTTTGTTTTAAAAGTATGTGTTAATCCTTATGTACCCAGACTTTGTGGACACCCCATATTATTAGGGGATTTAATCATGTTATTTTTACCTTAAATTATATGTATTTGCTGTTATTAAAAACAGTATTGTTTAGGGTCTGAGAATGGATTAATTCACTTTATTTATTATCACTATTATTTCTAATATGAAAAATTGATTCAGTTTTCGAATGATTCAGAAACAGGCCTCCTAAAATGAATAAATTTGAAGTACAGGTACCACTGTATTTAATTTTTGTTGTCTGTCATCATTTTTAATAATATGTTTAATCATTTGAAAATTCAGGCTCTCTGTTTTCATTATTTATTTAAAAATTGTTGTTTTATTTCCATATTAAAGAAATTTATTTTTGTCATTTTATTAAAAAAAATATACAATTATAGACATTTAACTAAATTCATTTTCATATATCTTGTTGGATAACAAAATAAATAGCAAAGAAATCAAAATAGAATATTTATAATTCTGTGATTTAAAATAATAAATAATATTAATATTTACCTGGTAAATGACCACGTGGTACAACTCCTGGATAAACTTCTCCAGATCTTGGAATACTGTAGTCAAGTCCTTCTGGTTTAGCTTGTGAACTTAAAATGCCACTAGGTTGCATATTATGGCCTGGATATTGTCCCATATTTCCATCTCCTGCATTTGATGTTCCTACACCAGACGGAGACTGTTCAGCACCTGAAGTTGCTACATCTTGTTGGTGATGTAAACTTCTACAATGAATCAGAAGTATAAATGATAAATTTGTTGAAAATATTTTAAATATCAATAATATACTATTTTTATTAAAAAAAAAATTACACAAACATATAACTAGAAATAACAAAATACAATCATTAAATTAAAATATAAAACTTTTCAGTAACAGATTCAAATTATTAATCATTGGGAAATCAACAAATAATTGTTTACTGAACTAAATCAATCCAATGGTTGTGACAAATTTCTTACTATCACAACAACAGTAAAAGACAATTGAGTTAATAATCCATATTTTATTATTATTATTTTTTTAATCATGGGTGTCATTTTCCAAACTGATTATATGAAATAGTCCAAATATCTTCTGAATTGATTGAATTAGACAACTGATCATTAAAATGGACTGATAATATTTAATTACAAAACTAAAAAGAGAATATTAATCTAAACATGTTCTGTAGGTCTAATATAAAAATGTAATTTATAATTCATCAAATAAGTTATAGTTTTAGACTAAACAATTACTTCATTAAACAAATACCAAAACCATAATTAAATTATTTTATTATAGGTCTTTCAAGCATGAATCTATTTTGTCATATTTAGTCTAAATTGATTGCAATTGATACACACAACATTGAACTGGTTAAATAAATTTTCAAGAAACAGGTTATAATTACAACCAAAAAGTTATTTCTTTCACATACTATGTTATTAGAGAACATTTTTGGAGAAAAATGCAATTATTTAAAATTTGTATTTTATTGTTTTTAGCATACTCCACTATAGTGGAGAAGTGCTTATCTTAGGACTTTGTGTGTCATTCATGTGGATCTGTCAGATTTGCACACACATGTTCTGTTCAATCCATTTATTGTGCATATGCAACTACTACTTGATTCCAAGAATTTATAAAATTTATTTTAAACAAAATCAATATTTGATTAGCTTTTATGGAGCATGCTATTAGATCAGTTTGACTAAGCTTGTTTTCTAAAAGATTATTGCTGACTAATGTCGTTATCTTCAAATTTAATTTTATAACCAAAAGTTTTTATTAAACAACATGGTGACTAAACCAAATTGCTACATAAACTTGTGAGAATGTGGAGTTGAGAGGGGATTTTTTTAATATTTTTGTTTAGTTAATACAGTAATACCCCAAACTTATGCGATAGGTGGGACCGAGCGATAGCCGTGTAAGTCAAATCCGCATAAGTCGGGGTATAATTTCACATTTTGTGTAAAATCCAAGTCGGATCTATGTAAGCTAATAAATGTTCTCGTTAATCTTATCTCGTCTTTTGATTCATTCATGGTTACAAGAAATCACCACATAGAGTCTCTCAAGTCTCCTTAGATATAACAAACACAGAAATAAATAACACAAAATAAATTGTAGCTATGTGTCAATTCCGCGCGACACGTCCGAACATGTAAGCTGAACAATAGTGTGGGGGGAGTGGGTAATCAAGAGTTGCGTGGCACTCAAACAAAAGACAAATCGACAAGATTTGGAAATCGCATAAGTCGAGGTATTACTGTATTTTAAAATATTATTTTAAAACAAGATGATAGAAAAATTATCTATCTTTGTTATCTTTGTACTTCCTCTTATTCACAGAGAGAAGCAATATAGTTCTTTTGAAACTGATTGTTGAGTTTGATGCCTCATTTGACTATTGGCCCAGAAATGGCTGACTTCCCCCTTGGGACAGAAATATGGCATGATTTTCGAACTATACCATTGGTGGACCAATGAGTATATAAGGTGAAGGGTCACCTTCAAACAGTGCTTCAGACGTGTTTTAGTCACCCTTTAGCCAGAGACTTCAGTCATGTATTAGCCATAGTTCTCACTAAATTTGGTGCTCTTGCCGAGTGCTGAATCATGGATCTATACAATTCCCTACTCTCCATCTCCAGATGTTGTTAATGCTCCTGACACCATCATCTTGCATGTAAGTAAGCAAGTAACAGATTGTTATTTTGATGTATACTTTCTCAAAACAAGGTCTATTGATATATAGTTTTTTGAGGTTAGATTGCAGAACCTTTCCATTTATATCTTTGTATAGTTATTTCATTTGATTAGTTTAAGTTTATCTCTATGTATAGACTTAATTAGTCATTTAAATAAATAATTTTTGTTATATTCTAACTTGTCCACATACCTAACTCCATTGTCATCCCCATGTAACCATGGAAACCCATCAAGTAAATCTTCCTAAGTTCTGATCATACTTGAAAGCTTGAAAATTAATTTTATCCTAACTGGTGTCAGGACCTGATGATAAAAAGGAGAGACCTCACTGATCTCCCCTGAATCTTGAAATTATAACAATAATCCTGATAGTGAGCGAGGAAAAACCAGAACAAGACTCCCAGCCTCACATTTGGAGTCACAGGAGGAGGTTACAAAACCCCTTGAGCCCACACTTGGCACAGAAGGACCCCACTTCTGTGTAAAATCCTTTGATCTCACAAACTGGTAACTGGTTTAGATGGTAGCTGATTAATACTTAGTACAATCCTATTGAATTTAGAATGAAACATATTATTGTGTGTATGACAGAGAAGAAACTAACAAAAAGACAAAGCTGAACTGACCACAGTTTTGAATAATGAAAATTTCGAAAAAATAAGAATATTCAAATATTAACAGTGAATATTTAATCAAGATTAGATTGTAATGTAAGCTAAAAGTTTTGGCATTTGTTACCATTTTTCCAGTGAATAAAAAAGATTTTATTTAAACTTGGCAGTTAACTGGATACTAATTGAAAGATAGTATTTATAATAATATAAATAATAACAATTGATTACATATATTGATTTTTTTAATTAATTAATTAAATGATAAGTAAATCAACTTACTTGGCAGAAGTATTAGTGCATACAATATATTCAACATCATTAGTATATGGATTCAGGAATGCAAAACTACTTGTTCGTAACCATACCCATTCACGGTTTTTGGCTCGGAACCGATACATTACAGACATCACTTGTCCTTTCAATTTAAGTACTAGAAAAAAATTTTTATCATAAATTCTTTCTATTGTAAAATAATTAACTTATAGAATATTATCTGTTAATAGAATGGTAAAATACAATTATTTTTCCATTTTTTTTAATAAGAATTATAATAGAAAAATCAAAATATAATAATATATTTTATTATTACACTTCATAGTGCACAAAATATTTTATTGTGTAAAGATTTTAGATTTTTCTTTAATGTACTTGACAATACTATTTCATTTTTCTTTACATTTCATGTTAATGAGTCAGTGAAACAAATGTAGCTTTATTAATTTGTTTATAGTATTTATACTATCTAATAATATACAGTAGGGTTGTGCTATAAACATGACCAATATGTTCAAGACCCTTTGCATAAGTACTGTATTTTTGCAGATTGACCAATATGCTGCATATAACTGGAGGAGACCAGCATGCTGAAAATTCTGGGGTTCCCGACATGCCGTTAAACTGCAACTAAAAATTAAATTAATTACATCTAACAAAACTAGTTGTTAATTAAACATTAAAGAAAACATTCTTCTGAGTATAATAAAATAATAACATTGTAATTTGACTGACTTAAAATCAGGAAGAAAGTTTTCCTTTACAAGGAAATAAAACAATTAATGACTTATTGGACTTATGTAGTAGTAGTTAGTCAGTGTGTGCTGCACTATCTATCTACCCTGACCTTAAAAATAACACCCTTCTCTCTAATTTCACACAAAGGGACATTAATAGGTGTAAGTTGAGATAATTTACAGCAAGTTTCTTAAATTTAATATGTTTATTTTTGCATTTTTGAATCAAATTATAATAAAAATAAAAAATGCACTTTTGGCATTCCACAAGTATTTTACATTGTTAGAAAAAAGACGAACAAATTAAACTTAAACATATAATCATAGTTTTTGATGTAATGTTGACAGTTTCAATTTTATAATAGAATAAAAATTTTGTTTGTTTCTAGAGAGAGATGTATAACCTCACTTAAACTGGCATGCCAGTTTTTACTATACATAAATATCTCATTTCATGGTTTTTTCTGAATAGACTGACATAACTGACAATCCATGAAAATATAGTAAAAATTTGCATAAAATAGCAAACAACCATTAATTACTAAGTATTACCTATATTAAAAAAAGCTATCACACTTCTTTTTATATATAAATAAAGCAAATAAACACTACATTAATAAATAAATAGCAACTAATATAAACAACACCTTAATATTTCCAGCAATAAATTAATTAATAAAATAATAACGTTTTCAACTATTTTTAATAGCCTTCTTCAGTTAATCAAACTCAAACAAAAGAATGCTAAAATAGAACGCAAGCAATACAAAAGCTTTAAAAATTCAAATTAATTCCAAAGTAAAATGAAAAATTGCACAGGTGGTTAATATAGGAATAAACATAACCAAATTAATGCTGCCATAATAAAATATATGTCTATTACAAGATATTAATTACTACCAGAAATTAATTATGCGCTATGGTAAAATGATTTCCATGCAGTGGATAAACCATCTGCATCTCTATGGTTAATGCATCCCGTGCCAATGTTTATATTAGTTGCTTTATTTTCCAATAAGTTGTTTGTTTATTGTAAACAAATAGCATAATACCTTACAAAATAAAAACAACTTTAAAAATTTTTTGGGAGCAGAATGTTTTTCTTTTCTCACTACATCTAAAAATTTTTCCTCTAAAGTAAGCCCTTTATGGCTTTTCTTTGGCTTATCAGAATTATCAGTATCACTATCCTTGTGCTTTGGAGCCACGTTTGCAAAGTAATTAGCATAAAGGAAACAGAGAAGCACCAATATCACATGGACACAATGTATTACCAGCAAGAATTCTGGACAAAGAGAATGCAAGTCCTAGTGTTTAAGACAAAACAAAGAAATGAGCACAGTAACACTTTCTTGGAATGAGAATAAATAAGATGCTGCAAGACTTTATGCAACTTAAAAAATGGCATAAATTTAGTGTGGAATTATACGTTTTAAAATTTTACATAGCTTCCATTTTTCCCTCCTAGATTGTCAATAGCGTAGAGCTAAAGCCACATGTGGCAAGTCTGTGTATGGCATGGTCACATTGTATATAATTTGCCATTCTTTGAATTAAAAAAACTTTGGTTAAATACTAATTTTATAATTTAACAAAATAAAATTAGCATTTTCCTTAATGTATTTCAGACAGCATTTTCACATTACACATGATTAGATATAATATCAGACTAGTCTGCAAATAATTCATTACATGTTGTTATGTTTCAAAGAAAGCATAAAACCTTCCCTTTTTGATATTAAAATAAATATAAATCAATTATAAAATCTAATTTTAATTAAATTTTCATAAATAATTGTAATTAATTTATAAATGAAGTTATATCAAGTAATTTATTTAATTTTATTTAAAATAATTATAATTTTTAAATTTACAATGTACAGGTATCCTTTTGTACAACATGGTTTGAAAATTTGGGATATCACCTATACAACATGACTTCACTCTAACACAGGTTGGGGATACAAAATTTCACAATTTTTAAGTGAAAACTCCATTATTTGATTTTTTAAAATTCAAGTCAAGCATGCATGCATATTGTCTCAAATTTGCCCATGGATTTTAGAATACTGATATTTTCAATTTGTTTTGTGCATTTTGTCAGGCATACTTTAATGAAAACTGATAGTACAATTTCTTCTTCCTTGTCCTAACTTTCCTATCAATCAGGTGTCGTCATCATTGCTTTCAGATTTTAGCATTCAAGACCCATTGTTTTGTTTTTATAGATTAATCTTCATATTTAATATAAAGTTTATTTAAACATTTTTAGATAAGTGCTGTTAAACTCTTTTTTAACTGTAGATAAGCAATCATTCATAAAATGATGAATGAAATATGGTGGTATCTCGATACTCAAACAATTTGGTGTCCAAACACAAATTCCAGAAAAAAGTCGCTCAGTACTCAACTGAACAAACATCATCCATTATAACAAATTTTCAATTAATAACATATTTTTATTTTGTCACCCATAAAAAATTTTTTATAATAAAAATAAAAACATCAACAAAAAAGCTGAGATTATGATGATACTTTGTAAACAGAAAATGCTCGGTTTAACTATATAAAATTCATATTAACATGTTGTGATGTTCTAATGACAAGTATGTAGACCAGCGAGCGGAACAGTACAATAAATACTCAATAGACTTCCTGAAACAAAGTATTTTATTTTTGTTTATGAACAGGTTCTTTAGAATCCAACTCCACAAAATACTTTCTTTACACAAAGGTGTTATGTACAGGCTTAATAAACAATAAAATATATTAGTGTGACAACTATACGTGGGCTGAAACTTACAACTAATAATTATATACTAACTTATATACTAAGGAATAGGAAGGGTAGTAGATGAAAATAGATAGAATAAGAAGATTGAAAAACCCTGACTTTTCCCTGAAACTTTTTGTTCTTTTTTTTGTAGATTTTTGCCTGATACTAATTTAGTATCTTCTTTTACATTTACTGTCAGAAATTCTTCTTTATAAACTTCTCAGTTCCTTGCAGTCTCCAGTCATCCTACTTGAGACCTGGAGCACTAGCTTCACATGTCCCTTCTCCTGAAGAGCTCAACCAAGAATTCCTGTCCCCTTCTTTCATGCACTCCCGGGCATTATCTCTTCTTTTGTTCTTCTGATTTCTCTGAATCGGTAATCCCACCCACAGGGAAAAAGGGTTGGAAAGGAAAGTTCTAAAAGAAGTTAGAACAAAGAAACAAAGAAAAAGGCTAAAACTAATTTAAATTAATAAATACATATATACAATATTATGGCTGACAGCCACAATGTAATACAGTACTTTTAATTGTGACTGTTAATTAATTACTGACTGGAAATAAATTATTGATTGCTTTAATAAACATATTTCTTTTAGTAATGAAAAAGTATAGCACACTTTTGTTAACTTTTGGAACATGACCCTATGCATTAGTCCTTTGTTTTGTGTAGCATGGATTTGCATAACTACTGTGTTATATGAGGAATTCCTGTACTTAACTTATTAATAAATAAACCAAATTTCAATATCAAAGATTATTTATATCTAAAAATCTGATATATGATTTTATAACTGAAAAATAATTGATTTGTCAATTGATAAGATACCTAAATTTGAATTAAGATTAAACTTTTTTAAAATTAGTTTCTTAAATTTATTATTTCAAATGAAACAAGTTTAAATAATGTTTTTTAAAAAATAAAAAAAAATTTAAAACATTGATATCAGATGAAAATTTACCTTGTTCAAAGCTTTCTTTCATATGGGTTTGATCTTCAGGGTGAAAAAAATCAAAGCATGTTTTACCCAATAATTCCTGAGGCTGATAACCCAGAACACCTTGTATTCTAAAAGTTAAGAATCGATCTTTATGAAAACTTCAATTTTTAAACACACATAAAACTAGAATGTGTATACAATATTATACAAATATATTTTATTTATCATATAGCAATTATTATATATAATATTTGTTTTGAAATTTAGGAAATTGTATATATTTAATAAATTTTAAATTCACTAAATATGTACAATTCTACATACCTATTATTCTTTATAAATATATGTATAAACATAGGCTTTTATCTACACAAATAAAAACATTTACCTTTGATCCACAAATGTAAATTTTCCCTCCATATTATGTCGAGAAATGAATTCATTGGAAGAATTAGAACCCATGAGATCACTGGTATTGGGTGTGCTTGTCACTTGAAGACGACCAATTGCAACTAAACAGCAATGGCTACCACTGTGAGCATCTTCTGGATCCAACCTTTCAATCTGAACACCTACATAAATATCTTCTTTATAATTATTACTTTACATTAATCACTTAATTTATAACTTCTGTTTCAATTACATTAACTACTCTTAGACCATAGAGATGAAGAAACAACTTACCAGAAGGAGGCCAATTTTTAATGTAACCTGTACAATGCACAACAGCATATGCATTGCCATCAGTTGATGGTCCCAAACTATTTCTTTGTCTAATTCGATGAAGATGACCATGACACATTGCATCTGGCTGAACATTTCCAATTTTCATTCGGCAAATAAAGCCTCTGCGTGAACCCATGCACAAGCGCATGGATGCTGCACAAAAATATATTTTAAATTATATAACCATTAGATATTAAAAAAAAAAACTTAAAACTAATATTTAAAAATACACTTAAGGATTTATTCTATTAATATACATTTAAAGAATTTGACTTCATTTTGTATTTACAATTTATCATTTATTTTATCCAGTGATCTATCATAAATAGATAATATTAAATTTAATATGACCAATTTCCATCTAGAACATTCTATTCTAACAAAGTGTGAAACTTGTACCCAGGAAAATTAAATTCTAAGCTTACATAAATTATAAGAGAGAAGTATTTTAAGATTCTACTTTCACCATTATATTATTATACAATGCTCTTAATAAAATCTCTTTGAAATTTTACACACTTTGATAAACCATATAAATTTTTTTTATACTAATTCATTTCATATACTTTCATATGCATAAAAATTCCTTAGAGAAATAAATAATTTCATTACAAATGTGAGAATACTTACATTGGTGACCTTCTTTCTTGACTGTTCCAGCTGTAAAGGAAAAAGAGAGAGAAAAAGATTATATTAGTGTCTTGCAATTTGCATGTCAGAGCATGTACTGTAATTATACCTTTACTTTTCAAAAGAAAAGATTTATGAAATTGTGAAATTGATGAATACAGATTATTCTAACAACAAAGAACTTTCTCACTCTTAATATAGTCTTAAAACTTATCTAGAATTCATCATGAATACTAATAGCAATGCACTGTAAGTTCTATTGTACTTTACTGAGTAGAAATATAATGCAGTAGTTTATTTAATATTCAAGACCAGAGTAGAGTACAGTCAGACACATGACAGGTATTTACTAGATCTGAAATTTAGCCTTTTATAAAAAGAATAAAATAATTTTTTTAAAGTTATTCTGCAGTTAAAATTCTATTCATTAAATAAATTATACTTAATTATATAACATATGTGTAAATATTAAAATATGTATCATTGAAAATATATTTAATTATAGATATCATCATTGACAATCTACTAAGCTTTAAAATAATAATTATTAAATTTTATAAATATGAAATTTATTTTCCAATATATTTTTCACACAGTCATAAACAAAATGAGAAAAATATAATTGCAACTAAAAGAGAAAAATATAAAAAAAAATCCACATTGTAAAGCACTATCCTTATTTCTTTTTTAAAATACAGGTATACCTCACCTTACATCAATAATTTGTTCCAGGGGAGGCAACTTAAGTCGAATTTACTTGTCACTAGGCTAAACCACAAATAACCATTCCCAGTTCTGTATTTTATTTATAAATGCATTTTTAATAAAATATGGTTAATAAGAATCTACTTTAAGCTTACAAATAAATAAATTTTAGTTTTTAATATAGTACAGAAAAAGTAATCTAAATTTACGAATGCATGTACTGTACTTGTAAATGTACAGTACATGTTTACAATTTGACGATGTTTACAGTACTTCGCAGACTCTTTATTTTTGAATGTGATTTGCTCTAAGACATTATAAAATAAGATGATTTTGTAAGGTTAAATAACAAATACAGTTATTAAAATTATTTTGCAATAGTAGAAAATAAACAAATTTATGTTAAATTTACCAGTATTTACATTCAATTTGTTTATTTACATCGCAGATGTAGATGGCTGTGAATCGTCAGCATCAACAGCTGATTCTGGCTGTAGTTGTTCGATATGCTTTTTAATAAGAAACTGGTCAAGAGTTTCTTGAACTGTGTTCTTCTTTTCTTCAAGGATTACATGATAAGGAGCAAAAGCTTCGTGACAAGCATGCATAACTTTTGAAAAGCATTGACCATTTGGGTCCATATCCTCGAAAATTTGAAGTCTTTTTTCAATAAAAGCAAACGCTTCCTGCATTTTCTTTAGGGAAAAGTGACACGGTTCAGGTTCAACTTCTTCTTTTTTTGCTGCTTGTTGAACTTTATCAAATCCTTGTTCGTTAGGGGCTACTTGTCTTTTTCAAATAAATCTATGAAATCCTTCTCCAAATCCATTTCCAGTTCTTTGTTCATGGTCACCAATGTTTTGTTGATTTCAACATTATCAAACCCCTTGAAATCATTCACGAATTGTGGGCAGAGTTTTTTCCACACACTATTCATAGCTGTGTTCTGAACATCATTCCATGCTGCTGCTATGTTCTGTACAGCCTTATATATGTCATACTCCTTCCAAAAATCATGAAGTGTGCATGACTCAGCAAGATCAGTTGCATGCAAAAATCAGTTGCGGCTACTGCTTGCCGCAATGTATGCTTCATATGGTAACACTTGAAGATTGTAATGACTCCCTGATCTATGGTTGTATAAGAGATGTGGTGTTCAGAGGGAGGTACACAATGGTAATGTTGGGGTGAAAATCTACAATGTTTTGCAAGTGGCCAGGAGCATTATAAATTATTAATAATATCTTAAAAGGAATCCCCTTCTTCTTGCAATAGTTTTCTGCTGCCAGGATAAAATGATTAAAGAACCAATCTTCAAAAATAACAACAGTCATTCATGCTTTTGGATTAGCCATCCATATAACAGGAAGAAATGCATTGGTTACATTCTTCAGGACATGGGGGTTGTGTACATGATACACCAGCAATGATTTTAATTAAAATCTCTAGCACAATTATCTCCTAACATAACAGTCACACATTCTTTTGAGATCTAGTAGCCTGGAATTGATTTTTCTTCTTTGGAAATGAAAGAACGATCTGTCAATTTTTTCCAATATAATCCAGTTTCATCAATGTTAAAAATGTTCAGGAAGAAACCTGTTTTCTTTGATAATCTTAGCCAATGCTTTAGGAAAATAGACTGCTGCTTGTTTGTCAACTGATGCACTTTAACCTTGCTTCTTAATAGAGTGATGACTTCTTCATTCTTTAAATCTCATAAACCAGCCTTGACTCGCTTTAAACTCTACATCTTTCTCATCTGGATATTTTTTGTTCAGGTCCTCAAACAAAGACAATGTTTTCACTTGAATGATTTCTTGACTAATAGCAGCACACTGATGATTCAACCTATCAATCCAAAGAGAAAGTAGTTGTTCCATCTCTTCACAGATTTTTCCTCTTTTCTTATTAATAACAGTATTCTTCATCCCTGGGGCATCAGATATGTGCCAAAATCCTTATTGCAAACAACAATTATCAATACAGTTGTCCGACTCATTCCAAAAGATCAAGCAATCAGTACAATCTTTTCACCTTTCTCATGGCATTTTATCATAGCCAGTTTATCTTCCAGCGTTATAACATGAGGCTTAGCACTTGCACTAGGAATTTTCTTAGAAGCCATCGGGGCAAAATATAAAGTCACAAATGAATGTGACATTCCTAGTGCAAGTGCTAAGCCTCATGCTATAACGCTGGAAGATAAACTGGCTATGATAAAACGCCATGAAAAAGGTGAAAAGATTGTACTGATTGCTTGATCTTTTGAAATGAGTCGGACAACTGTATTGATAATTGTTGTTTGCAATAAGGATAAGATTTTGGCACATATCTGATGCCCCAGGGATGAAGAATACTAAGAATATAAAGTCGCAAATGAATGAGAATGAGAGAGTAGGCAATAAGCCTACTCTCTCATTCATTTGTGACTTTATATTTTGTCCCGATGGCTTCTAAGAAAATTGAAATTCAGTTTAGTTTATGCATATGCACGGTATACATCTGCTTACCGTTAGAATGAGAGACGTTTAGTTTACTAACGGTAAGCAGACATTTACCATGCATATGTGTAAACTAAACTGAATTTCAATTTCATGTGAATCAAGAGTGGTGCTGACAATGATGCCAAATGGTAGATATTGGAACTACCGTGGAAAACACTAATATTGAGCTCCTAAAGACTGCTAAATAAGATGACAACACAGAGTCACAGATGTTTTCATATTTTGTTCTCTAGGATTAACATTTACTGTAAATGTACATATTTTAATATGATTTTATATACTTTTATTCTTATTTATTGTACAGTAAGATGATTTAGTGTGCTTTTAACGCTTTTCTAGTGATATTACAACTTCAATATTTGTGTGGACAGACGTAAAGTTGAATAAAATGACTTAAACTTGATTTTTATTTTTCCATATATTTTTTTTGACAAACAATGTAATCTAGAACGACTTAACTCGAAACCCAAGGTATACCTGTAATAGGTAACTCTTGGATTAGAGGTTTTTTAAAAAGAAATTATGTTCTGCAAATACACTTTATTATTATTTTCTTGTGAAATATTATGTCAAATTATTTTCATGGGATATTTACCAGTTTTATTTTCTTTAATGGTATTTCTCTTTATAACTTAAATACATAACTCTGCATAACTTACAAAAAATCAAAAAGCTTAAGTTAAACTAAATAATAACCAAAACTGATATTTTTTAAAGGCTATAGATATATTACTACTTCAATTAATTATAAACTAGAAGCAAGCAAAATCACAATCTCATAATACAATCAATTCTGTTTTTTACAGAGTAGAAATGTTTCTGAAAAATCTGTGTAAAAAACATACTGTTCTTATGAAAAAATGAAAGACTGATTCTAGAAATGCAATCATACAAAGCATCAAACTTTTTGAATTAAATTTTTCTGATGCTTCAGTGATGAGATAAAGTTGGAATGAAAGACTGATTGTTGCTATACACATTCAAATAAGTCATAAAAAAAGAGCCAAAGTTTAAAATTTACTTGAGTTGTTTAGCAATACTGTTAAATGCAAATTGTAAAAATTTTTTAAAGAGAGGAATTTTCTAGACAAAGAAGTATGAATACTTTTCTTAGAATTAAAATAAAATGAAACTTTTTAAATAAACAAATTTATTAAAATGTGTTAAATCAAAACAAATAAAGTTAAAAAAAAAGTTGGGTGCATTAATTCTTCCAATTTCTAGTATCAAATTTATTAAAAATTATAGATTTAATACAGTAGTGTAAACATTGTAAGGATAAAATAACTAACTTAATTCAATTGTCAGCTGGTTTTCTTTCATATTTCTTCAGAATATGTACAGGGTCTCAGCAATCTTAAAAATTATTGTTTTTATGATATGTAAATCTGATAAATATGTACACATTTATTATATATAGTTGAACATGTCTATCTCAAAAACTTTCTCCTGCATTATATATATATAAATGAGGATGTTTGTTTGCTTGCTATACACTCCTAGGCTGTTTGACCAATTGCCATTAAGCTTGGCAGTTATATTCACATACTTCTAACTTAGATAATGTCATGCATCTCACTCTAAAATACCGATTTGATTTCTATATACATTTGATTTGCTGGCTTTACATGTAGCACTATCCCTACTGGCAAAAAATTTAACAAAATAATAAACTAAATATAATTTTTACAAAAAGGATAATTTTAAAAAATATTATATTAGATTCACTTAATTACTGCTACAATGATATAGTGTGAAATAGATGCACTCTATCATTACTGCAACAGGTAGCATATAGCACTTGCCTGCATGGAATTG